ACCAAAAGAAAAAAAAAAAACTCAAACAAGAAAAACGGACCTAACTCTGTTTTGATCGGTGTTGAGTTAATTCTAGAACTTTTCTGAACTGAGCTCTTTTATTATGGCTCGCTCTGCAAATGCAGTCCAGTCCTATGTTCGCACGATTTTGTTATAACGGAAAGTGCTGCTCTTCAAGCCACAAGCAGTTGACGCGGAGGACAGAAACAGTCTCTGTGTCATTGTATTTGTTGTTGGACATTGGGGTCTCACGCCCCAGAACCCCAGAACTGGCTGAAAAGCCAGGAGCTGAGGCTGAAGGGACAGAAGATTTGGGCGCTGCTGAAGTCACGCTTCTCTTCAGGCGGAAGTGGCCGGCACCGGGAGGACAAAGGCCCGCCCGTCACGTGTGTGTCCCTTAACTCAGAACACGAAGGGGTGGGATTCCAGCACGGGGTCCACTGTCAGACTCTGGAGGAAGGGGGCTCACTGGGGAGCTCGTGGGGAAGCTCCTAGAGATCATCGTAACCGAGACCTGGACTGATGTCAGGAAGTTCTTTGCAATAAATTCTGCCTAAGGAACCACGGCTAAGGTAAATGCCAAGGGAATAAAAGAAAAATAGAGTCAACTTAAACGTCTGTAAAGGGAAATCAGTTAAGCACATCCATATAATGAAATACCAAGAACTATACGCCTCTCAGTGTTTGCTGTTGTATCTGTTACTTCCTTGACACTCAGCAGAGGAAGTGCTCAGAATTGTTCCCCAAAACAGTAAATGAAATTCAGCAATTTAAAAAGACGAGATTCTCCCAGAGGTATGATGGAGGAAGGTTCGCGATGCCCTTTTAAGAGAACAGACTTAGCAGTGTGCGGTGTGGTCCTGTTAATGGTGAGAATGTACAGATTTTACAACATGCGTTCAAGTGTCTGGGATGATCCACGACGTGTAAATAAAACAGTTAGGACTGGTTATTTTCTGCACAGTGCCACTGGGTCAGGATGGGTGTTCACTTGTTCATTTCTACACCCCTTTCTACCTGTGTGGGTCTCTTCCCTCACCCCGGCCCATCGGAGCACACGTGGGAGGAGAGGGTACACACACGGTGGGTAGCATGGAGGCGACAGCTCTCCCCAGTTCTCCCTCTGTACTTTCGGTTTTCCCCTTCAGTACCACTGTGTTTTGTTTCTTGCTTTGTCTGTTGTGTGCAAATATGTCAGTTTGTGTGTGTGCTCTCCTTTCAAATCCCCCCTTGTTTCGTTAAAGGGGACTTCTGGAGCCGTGTGCTGCTCGGGTTTTTATTTTGTCATATTCTTTTTCCCCCGGTGAGAATCAAAGACAACTGACATAGAAAGGGAGCTGTGGATTTTAGCCACCAGCACAGTTTGGGTGGCTAAAATGCCCAGTGTCTAAATCGTGGTAAAGAAAGGCTCATTTCCCTTCATCTGCAGCTTTCGTGATTTCCTGCCTACATTTCAGGGCCTTTCTCCCATGATGCTTTTATAATTTAGATATTCCAGGAGTTGCCGGTTCCCAGCCGCTCTCGGTAGACAAAACGACCTAGTCCTTCCCACACGCCCTGCTGTAGCCAGACTTGACGTAGGGCTGGCACCTTGTGAGCTCCGTTTTAGGAGACCTCGTGCAGCCTGCTTTGTGACTTTTCCTCTGAAGTTGGCCACGCTGTCCAGGGTGAGCTGTGAGCTTTTCCCTGGAAAATCTGATTCTGGTCTGTGAGGAATTTCATCACAGCGTCCCCAGAAGCTCCTGAGGAACTGCAGAAACGCTGTGAAGCAGACCTCCTCGCACTGACTCGACAGAGTCCGGAGGATTATCCAGCTGTCATCACCCCTTGCGCTTACATCCTTGTCAGTCTTCTCGCCTTCTTCTTTTTAAATGGAAAGCTGACCTTGTAGTTTGGGGTTCCTGCCTCTCTGCTGGTGATTTGGTGCCTTCGCAGCATGCTTTTCCTCTTTTGCTGGTCCTCAGTATTAATCCTGGGTTTATTCTTTGAGCCCTGGGAGACATCAGGACACTGACACAAAGATGTGAGCGCAAGGGAGGGACGTCTGGGCGGCCTGGGCCTGTAGCAGACAGTTTCAGACAGAGAAGCAGAGGTGGGCTGGTGGGCCAGGGAGGGGCTCGCACCGTGTCCCAGGAGGGCTGGGAACCTGTGTAGGCTTCACACAGAGCTGTGAGCTGTCCGGCTTCTTCCTAGTTGGTCACCCTGGGAGGCTGAGGGAGATTAGACTAGGCCAGGCGTGGGAGAGGCGGGAGCGAACCAGGGGAGTCCAGCGAAGAGAGCACAGGAGAGAGCCAGGGAGGAGACGGCGCCACTGGCACTGAAGCCATGACAAAGCAGTCTTTCCAGCCTCCTTCGGGAGCCTCGTCCTCTGGCTCCTCACAGTCCCACTGGCCTCAGCTCCTGCCCACCCTGGTCGAGCTGAGCACGGCCTCAGTCCTGACCTCAACCCCCACTGCTGCCTCTGCCGAGCTCTCCCAACTCCTCAACTCGCTCAGGGCTTTTCAGAGTCACTTTCTCAGCCCAGGCTTGTGCTTTAAAGTTCCGACACCTTCCGCTCACCCCTGATGCCCCTGCCTCCTTCTCTTTGCTTTTTGCCTTGTCTATGGATGTTTCGCTTACTTTTCTTTTTACAGCATTTTCCAGGATTGTGAGCTCTCAGAGGAAGGATTTTGCCCTCTGCTCCCCCTGCCTCACACGCCCACCCCTGTGGGCACTGGACACCTGTGTGCGGAGAGCATGAGTTACAGTAGGGTGTCTGCTCCCTCTTTCCTGCTTCCTCCTGAATGTTTACCAAACTGTTACGATGTCTGTCTGTGCTTTGTCTACAGTAGGGCATAGGGCAGGGTGGAAAGACTTCAGCCTAAGCTTGTAGATTGGACTCTGATCAACAAGCTGTGTGGCCTGGGACTATTCACTTAGCCTCTCTGAGGGCTCCTTGCTTTGCTTTGAAAGTGGAGGAGACTGCCCTTGCCTATCACACAGAGCTGCCATGAAGGGTCTGTAGAATAACTGTGAGAAAGCCCACTGTCTGGTTTGTTTGGTCTTACTGCAACCAACTAAGGGAGACTGAGAACTTCATGTAGAAAAGAGCATTTGGCATAGTTTGGGAGGTTGAAAGGCCAACATCAGGCAGCCCCACCTGGGACTTGCAGCTGGCAGGTGGGACACAGGACAGGGGGAGAGGGCACAGGCAAGACAGAAGCAAGAGGCAGGAAAGCCGCACTGGCTCTGGTGACCCATTCCCGGCCCACGGAGGAGCACCTGCCGCCTTCTGCTCTAACAGCCCACCCTTCACAGCGTCACACTGGGGACCACTGCCAGCACACTGACCTTTGGGGGCAAAGCAGATGGAAGCCATAGCAGGTGTTGTCATTCACCAGGGTTTGTCCTTACCCTATCGCGAGCAGTCCTCGTCAGAGCAGTGACACTTGGACTTGGAGGGCTGAATTCATGTTACAGATGAGAGATCCGAGGTGCACCATAAGACTAAGTAGCGTATGCAATGACTAGCAACCACCAGGGCCAGGCTTTGAAGCCAAGTGTATCTTACTCCAGTCCTGAGCTTTTTTTCCCCACCTGTGTTCTGATTCCAGCCCAGGCTGGCAGTGACGGCCTGGGGCGATGCAAAGGGTTTGGCCCGAGATACAACTTCAGTCTTCACTCACTGCTAACTGGTGTCTCGTGCTCTGGCCCTGTCCCTCAATGGGGGTTTCAGGCAGAAATTTCTGTCTTCTGCAAGGTATTGTCAAGCATTCCCGTCTCTTCCTCCTGCCCCTCCAAGCAGGGACACTGCCACAGGTGCCTCAGTTTTGCCTTACTGTCTAACCCTGTCCCCATGGCTTCCTTAAGTCCAGTCCTCACACTCAGGGCGGTGTTGCAGTTATCCACTGAGACCAATCCTGGGCGAAAACGCTTCTCAAATAACTAACTTTGTGCTCCTCTGCCTTGTTTGTGTTGTGGCCTTTCTGTGCTAATGATTTTGTAAATGTGGTATAATTACTGTTTACTGAGAACTAGCTACTCGCAGATCAGTCTGGTAGGAGAGGAAGCCAAATATTGAGGCAATTTGTTTTTAGTGAAAAACAGCTAATAAATGAGTGCACTTCTTAAGTGTTGGGAGAAGAGCTTAAGTTTGGTTTTGGAGAAACAGTGCTTTGTATATGCAAGGAAACAAATCATTCTTTAAAGGATTAGATTTAAATATGAAAATGGCAGTCCTCCCCCAAGGCCAGGCACAGTGTGATTTGCAAATAACAAAACTGTAATAATAGTGATTTGATTGAACACCACATTCTAAAGATTGCCCCAAAAGGAAAACTTGAAATTACTTGTAAATTCTGTTAAATGTTTTGGAGCTCTATAAACCCATGCATTATGTATTACCTCATGTTTCTGGGTTCTGGCCTCAGGCAAATTGCCAGCTTAGCAACCAAATGACAGTTTTTAAATTCAAATACAAACCAGCCTCTCTAACTTTTTTTTCTTAACCTTCATGGAAAAAAGAAATCATGTCAGGGAAGAGAAAGTTACTGGAATGCTCAATTTATAAATTCTATTTGGGCTCTATTTAGAGTAGTTTAATTTAGTTCTTGTAGAAAGTGGAGTTTGCTTGATTCAGCACACAGAGGAGCCTCCAAACTAGACCCCATCCCACAGCTGTGGACCGTGCCAATGGTCCAGCAAGGAGTAAAACCGGAGCCAGGTTCGGCCTCCAGTGCAGGATCAGAAAATGAATCAACTTATTTCTCTCTCTCTCTCTCTCTCTCTCTCTCTCTCTCTCTCTCTCTCTCTCTCTCTCTCTCCCTCTTTCCTTGAATTCTCCTGCTAGCCCTTGGGATCCACAGGAGAGCCCCCGGCCTCCTTTGAGCCCTTCTGCCACTTGGGGAGCTGGCGTCACAGGACTAGCACCGCGTTTGCTTGCTTTTCTCTTTCCTGAGCGCAGTCACAGGTGATCGGATGGAGGCTCTGCACATGACATGTGTTTTCTTTCCTCTTTGCAGCTGAGTTCTCGTCACCAGGATGGGGAAGCAGAACAGCAAGCTGCGGCCCGAGGTCATGCAGGACTTGCTGGAAAGCACAGACTTCACGGAGCACGAGATCCAGGAGTGGTACAAAGGCTTCCTGAGAGACTGCCCCAGTGGACATTTGTCTATGGAGGAGTTTAAGAAAATATACGGGAACTTTTTCCCTTATGGGGATGCTTCCAAATTCGCGGAGCACGTCTTCCGCACCTTCGACGCCAATGGCGATGGGACGATAGACTTCCGAGAATTCATCATCGCCCTCAGCGTGACATCCAGGGGGAAGCTGGAGCAGAAGCTGAAGTGGGCTTTCAGCATGTACGACCTGGACGGGAACGGCTACATCAGCAAGGCGGAGATGCTGGAGATCGTGCAGGTGCGTGGTCCTCCACAGGGAGAAGAGCGCCGCATCGGGAGTGAGAAGCACAGTCACGAGCTGGTGGGCACGGTGCAAGGTACCTGCCCGGTCAGAACCTCTGAAAGGTGTGGACGCGCGCTATAGTGCGGGGTCACGGAAAATCCACTCCGCGCTTTGGCGATGCTGGGCCCACGTTCTTGCCTGTTGTACTTGGGGTGACCCACACGTTGCAGATGATGTGCTCTTCAGTGGGTGTGGCTGTTTAGCTCTATCATGTCCCCCAAAGCCTCAGGAGTTACAGGGTGGAGCTTTTTGAGGGTGATTGGATCGTAGGGGGTCGCAGTCACCCACGGATGAATTCCTAGCTCAGTGTGCTGTTAGGAGGTGGATGGCTGGAGGTGTGATCTGAAAGGTGCTCTCTTGTGCCCGGCTCCCCCCCGCCGCCTTCCTGCTGCCATGGGTGAGCACCTGTGCTCTGCCAGGTCCTTCCGTGTCATTTCTGCCTGGAAACCAGCCAGCCATGGGTGGAACCCTCTGAAACTGTGAGCCCAATAACCCTTTAAATTGCAGGTGTCAGGTATTTTGTCCCAGTGATGGCAAAGTGACCAATATAGTTGGCCGTGCTTATCATGACCCCACCGCTCACCCTGCAATGACCTGCCTGGGCCTGAGCCAGTGGTTTGGAGTCCATGCCCTCTGGTGTGGGGCTAATGAGCAAGTTCTGACCTGGGTTCAAGTCCTCCATCCTTCTCTGTGCGACTCTGACCATGTTAGTTCCCATAGCAGCAGCATCCGTAAACAGAACATTTGGCCGCACCCATCCATGCCATGAGGCAACTCGGGGTGAAATGGCTGTCACAGTGCCAGCCATGGCTGCCTGCTCCTCTTGGGACCCCAGTGAACTCGGGGCAAGTCGGGGAGCTGGTCAAGAGTGTGGCCGGGAAGTTTGCTCAGCGTTGGTGGGACCCAGAGACAAACCTAAAGAGATGGATCTCGGCCTCAGGAGCAAGCGGGTCTGCTGCAGAAAGGAAGGAGGACTCGGCGAGTGGCAGCACCAGCAGAGCTGGCAGTCACTTGCTGTCTTGGCACTTGAGAGGGGTGCAGGAGGGAAACACGGGGCTTTGGCTTCCTGCAGGGCTCAGCTCTGAGGCCACCTCACCCCAGAACAGACTGGCAGGAGGTGGGAAGGTGCAGCCGCAGCCCCAGGGGAATGGTGGGGCGGCGGGCAGGGCAGGCAGGGTGGGCAGGGCGCATGGCAGGAGCTCACAGAGCACTGGGACCTGGTCATGGGAGGGGCTTGGAGCCCCCACACCCACAGTCCTGACCCGTGGCTGATTGTGGAAGCCGAGCAGGGCTGCCCCCTGCTCCTGGGCCAGGGAGAAGGGACAGCTACTGTTGGAGGGGTGGAGGGCAGGGACCCAGATGGCCCTGCTCCCCCGGGGCCCTCCATGCTCAGCCTGCTGTCGCTGGCTGGGCCCCAGCACCCTTCCTGCATCCGATCAGGAACTGGGGAACAGCTATGTGCAAGGGTCCCCCAGACACATGGGCCTGAAACGGGTCTCTCTCTTCCTCTTGGGATAAACACTCGAAAAAATATGCCTACTGTAAGAATCTTGGCAGAATAGAAAAAGAGGAAAATGATTTGTGACCCACCCTGCCCATAAAAAGAATCACTGCTGATCACTTTTAGCTATAGCTTTCCTGGTCCTATTTCCATGCATCTGAAAATATCCAATTGATTTCATAATGTGTACAAAGTTTTCTTTAACATAGTAATGCAAATATTTCTCATGCTATAAAAACATTTATATGGTCCCACAGAGGTGATACTGGCCTCCAATAGGTAATTATAGTCCTACAATAGATGATGATAGTCTTCTGACTATCTTGTTGGCTATCTAGGTTATTTTCAGTTTTCATTATTAGGTATAATCTTATAACTTTAAAAAATAAACTAGTTAATCAATAGGCCTTCTGCCCAAAGCTTTTTTTCTGTATGTAGGATTATCTCACTAGAGTACATTCCCAGGAGGACAATTAGAGGACCAAAGGGCATGAGTATTTCTAAGGCTCTGTGTGCAGACTGCAAACTTTTCCCAGTGCACCCCCAGTGTGTGGCCCTATTCCTACATAGTTCTACTTTTCTGGTCGCTAATTGAACAAAAATTAAACTTTCAAAGGTGATTCATTGTATCTGTCAGCTTTCTGCTACTATAACAAATGCCCTGGATAATCAGCTTCTCAAGAGGAAAGGTCTGCTATGGCTCATGGTTTTGGAGATTTTGTATCATGTTGGGTGGCCTCTTTGCTTCTTGAGGGAATGTGTGGTGGAGGGAGAGACTGGGGCCCCACAGTCTCCCTTTGAGGACACCCCAAAACCTGGAAACCCCCCACTCAGCCCCACCCCTTGCTTTCTCACAGTGCCACAGGCTGCGGACCATTCCTTCCACATGGGACCACTCGAGATCCATTCCCTTGAGTTAGGCTTCACCTGTGTCTCTTTTCCATCTTGGAGTGCTGGGCCCTGCCCTTCTGTACAGATAAGGATGGGAATATTCTCCTGCTGGAGGGAGCTGTTTCTTGACTGGGGTGTGAGAAATCCCCCTCCCCCCGTCACGGTGTTGTCTTCTGTGAAACAGCCCCTAACTCAGCTGTCCTGGCTTGGTTCACCGCCACATTGGTCAGGAAGTGGACGTGCATTCAGGGTGGAAACTACAGACCACGTGGGCTCATGCAAATCAAGAATCACGTCTTCATTTGGTACCTAGCATTCAGCACCTGTGAAGTGCCTGGCACGGTGCTGTCCCTATGCTGTGGATCCCACACAGAGCAGGAAGAGGGCAGAAGACCCTAGAAGACGCTGCCCGGCCCCTGGGGGTGTGGTGCACACCGAATACAAAGTGTAAAAAGCGGAGACCACTGTCCGAGACAGGAGACAGAGGCCCGCTCCTTTCCAGGCCCAGCTGTGAGGATGCGACATTCCCAGGAGCTGATGGCTGAGGCTTCTGCATCCTTACAAACCCCTTATGGGAAGGCCCAGCTGCCCCCAGCTCTTTCCCACAGTGGCCCACCCCATGATGAATATGCAGGGCTGCAGGGAACTCTGCAACACCCTGGAGCGACTTCCAAATCATCAAAGAGATTAAATCAGACCATTTCATTTTAAGGCTCTGCCGCTCCTTCTGCTACTTTGCAAACTGAAAATGTGTGGACTCCGTGCCATTCTTATGTTAATCACCCTGCTTTCAATTTGTCTGTGGGAATCGGGACTTAACTACAGGATCTTACTGCGTGGCTGGTCTTCTCTTTTCTTTATCAATCTTTTCTTCTTCCTTTTCCAAAGCCCACAGTCTCAGGCCTTTATCAGGGTCACAGGGGTCTCCTTTTCTCTGTCCTGGCCGGTCTGCTCTGCTTCGGAAAACACATTTGCTCTAAGAAAGCGGAACTGTCTGTTCCATCTCTGCTTTGTGCCTGGGAAAACATCTGCTGGCTGCAGAAGCCCAAGCAAATGAAGGCTTTACCTGAGCGCACAGGTCTTGCGCTTGGTAACGAGCGTCCATTCGTAAACTCTTGCCTGACCTCGACCCTCCAAGACTCAAAATCCAAGCGATTTGATGAAGAACGCTCGTTATTCATGGCTGTCTGCATTCTTTGCTGTTTCCCAATTGTGTTAGAAAAGACTAAAGAGTACGAAACTCCTATGGATTCTGTGCAGTACTGAAGTCCACTGCTGCGGTCCAGCTGGTGCCGCGTTTGCCACGAACCCAGCGGCTTTCGGCAGTTGGAAAGTCCCGAGTCTGCAGCCGCGGGGCTACTGGAAGGTGCGTTCAGGGCTGGTACTTCCGGACCTGTCCTGAAGGTCCTTTCCCTTGAGCTCACTACGCACAGACCTCCTGAGTCGCTCTCTTGCCTTCTGCTGCATACTCCTGGTCACGTGCCTGGTTACTAAGGCAGCACAACCATCCCATCCCAAGGCTCTGTCACGTCTGCGAACTGTCTTCCTGCGGGAGGTAGCAGAGCCAGGGCTCCGGGGGTCCAGATGTGGACAGGACGGTTCTAAAACGTGCGGGATCGCCAGGTCCTCCCCGTGTCAGGGGAGCATCCCCGCCCTGCCGTCTGGGCCACAGTGCAGTTGTGTTCCTTTTAAAGAAAAATTTTGTGCTGTATCAGCATCGGGGTGAACAAGAAAAAAACCACATGCAAGTTTATTTTTACAGCTTAAATGAACTTCTTCACATTTTGTGTGTGTTCTAAAGTGTCAGATTTAGTAGCATATTTTGAGGCTTGATATTTTATTATTGCATGGAAATCATCTCAGGAATTTTTTTTCTTTTTCAGATAGGGTCTTGCTATGTAGTTCAGCCTGGCCTCAAACTTATGGCCATCCTCCTGCCTCAGCCTCCAAATGCTGGAAATACAGGTGTGTGAGTCTCAAGCCAGATAACAACCTCTGCCGTTCCCACCCGCAGCAGAATTCTGTTCTCTTGCTGGGTGCAGTAGCCCCTCACTGCAAGAGGAAGGAGACCCTTCCTGCCCTCCTGGGTCCCTGCCCTCTTTGCCTCTCTGCCCACCTAGACACTGCACCACAGCAGCATGGCTGGGGCCGAGAAAGCGGCTGGTGAGCTGGGAAAGCCGGGCCGATTCGGCCACATATGCAGGGAGCGGGGGCCGCACGTCCAGGTCGAGGAGGGAAAAGTGGCCTCTGCTTCCTCCTGTTCTTGGGCCACTGCTCACTGGAGCCCTCGCGAGGCTGAACTCTGGGGCCGTCAGGGCACAGACGAGCAGAGACTGCACTGCACGAGCCCTGTGATGGGATGAAAATTACAGAGTAAGACCAAAGATGGCCGACTGTGCCCAAAGATGGGGAGAGAGCCAGGGAAGAGGAGTCACGTGAGAGGAGTTTGGGCCAAGCGGGGCGACCCCTCGTCGTGCAGACACACGTGTATCATGGACATCCCCGAGCTCGCCCTTCCTCCTTGCCCTCTCCCTGTGTCACATTTCGCATTTGGGTCCCTGAG